GCTTTTCCACTGATTTCTAAAGTACTAATCATCACATTTCAATGAATCTAGAATTATGCAGAGACCAAATTAGTTTTTGGTAAATATTTGTGCATATTAATTACCTAATTTGCATAATTAACCAATTTCCAACTTTCACACTGATATCTCAGGTACTAATCATCACATATCAATGAATGTTTATACATGGACGCTGTAGGACAATAGACAGACCTGGATAATTGTGGGTTAAAATCTGTACATATTAATTACCCAATTTGCATAATTAACCAATTTTAAGCTTTCACACTGATATCTAAAGTACTAATTTCCATTTTAATGAAACTTAGTACAAAGATGCTCTAGGACAATGTACAAACCTAATTAGTTTGGGGTAAAACTGTTCATATTATTTCCCTAATTAGCATAATAATTCATAATTTTTTGGTTCTAATCACATTTCAATTAAACTTGGTACATAGTTTTTGTTACATTGCGCAGACCTCATTAGTTTTACAATCAAATCTGTTCATGTTAATTTTCTGATTTGCATAATTAGTTTACAGCTAAGTAATTTCAAATTATATTTAATGTGTCTCCAATACTCTCAGCACATGGGAGTTCTTTCTAAGCTTTCTTTGATTATTATTAGAGGACACATGCGTGCGTAATCATTTCATATTTGGAATTCGCATTTTCTTATACAGTAGGACGAAAATGCCCCGTAAAATACTGCAACTTATGGCGTTACGGTGACAGATGTATAATAATGTTGTATATCAGTGGAACAAGGTAAAATATTCACAGTATCTAAACACAGACAAGTCACAAGTGGAAGAAATAAGTAAACAGGCAACATTGTAAACTTTCCCAGTTTGGTATATTGTATTTATTTGTTACAAAGTTTAGAATTTGTTCAAGTACACTTTGTGAAGTCTTGTTGTCGATTAAATAGGATGGATTATGATATGTACACAGGCACTTGTGTGGAATCGTATTTCCATGGTGACCTTATAAAACAACAAAGATAATAAAACACTCTTTCTGATTGGTTAAATCTAAAAACACGCGTTCCTCTTAGCCAATGAGTGAACACCTTGCATCTTGGCACATTTCTCTTCTGAACAATCAATGAAACAGTGTCTTAAATGATTATACTCTTCGTAACAACTGCCTTCAAATGACATCAAAAAAAAAAAAAAATATGCTAATCTGATTGGATGAATCTAAAACAGATTTTTATTTTTGCGGCAGCACTGTTTACATACTGCGATAAAATTATGACCAAACTCTCGTTATTTTATTTATATAAAAAAATTCTAAAAGTTGAAGGCTGTGTACGATTGTGTAAAAATGTGCCACATGTGACCTGGCCTGCAGGTCCTGTTGTCTGCTATTCTACATGTAAACTTAATACATCTGTAGCTGCCATAGCAAAACGTGTAATCTACCATTCCTTATGTGGTTGCCCATTTTTTTTTTTTCATTGGTACCGTATTTGCTCAATAGAAGTGCATCTTCAGAAGTTATTGCTTGAAATCAAATCTGTTGTGTACTATATCCAAGAAGAACAAGACTGGGCCAACTCCCAAATAAGAACTCCACAAATGCAATTTAGTTAGTTTCTAAATGTTCAATTTTTCTTGATTCTCCAGCAAAAGATTATAGGTGAAGTATGACATCACAGTCAGCAAGTAACACTCGTATTTGCATCAGTATTTTTTAAATTATTAAAACATTTTCATAATTTTTCTCAAAATTCAAGGAAAATCAAAATATACTGATTTAAATTTGGATATCAAGAGAATCAAAAGTGATATAGAAAAATTAATTGCATTCTGCCTTTGTGAAGCCTAGACTTGCCTTTAAAATATTGTACTACTAATAGAGCAAATATGGTATGGAAAACTTGAACTAGACAGGAGATGAATCAAGACACCTTGAGATGTGACCAAACTATTCCACTACTGATCATGCATACAAACCAGAAATTGACTACAGGAAATTTCAGATCATTCCTGTCTACAGATGGCATTTCCAATCGAACACTGATCTGAGCACTGCATTGATATCGCAGCCAATCAAACCACTGAGCATTTTGGTAACAGACAACATGAAGCACAGGCCCAATGTGACCCCCCCTCCCATACTGTAATCTTAATCACAGAATTAACCCCCTCCTGCTCAATAAGACCTAACAGTACAACTTTAACATTATTCTCCTCTTTGCCCCCCCCCCCTCATTTAAAGAGTCCTATAAGGCAATCTCACTCGCAGTATGACACAAAAATATATCTTTACAACCACATTTGACCTCCATCCCCCCACAAAACGACTTCAAATTGTGATCAGAAAAAAGGCAGTAAATTCTTCACATAGAATAAATACAGACATTTTCAGGACTGGAATTTTGAGTTGAATTGAGTTGAGAGATGATCGATTGATGACTTGAGCATCAAGGAAAACTCATTGGGTGCCAAAATAATTGTCTTTAATGTTTCCACAAAATTCAAGCCCTGTGTCAGTCTTTGTTTTAAGCTTAAGATACACAAATTTGTCTGGACAGCTTGCAAAATATCAGAATGCAAAAAAAAAAAAAATGTACAAAATGAGGTCAGCTGGAATCTCTGTATTTTCTACAGTGGATATGCAGGTATTCTCAGGTAATTTTACAGCCATTGAAATCAGTGTTAAAACAGATACCGGGTTATCATCTTTGATTGCATACCCAATAATCCTGGATCAGTGAAGGTTTCCCTCCAGTGTACAGCGGATAAGTCTTAATACCAAGTAGTTTCAAGGGGGTCAAAGTTCAACAACATGATCTGGTATCCATGATGGAGACAATAGTTTCCAAGGAGATTTGAATCACACTGCTTGTTAGATTTCAATCAAGATGCAGAAAATGGAGGGGGGAAAAAACTTTTAACGTTTAAGTACCTAGTTTCAATTCTCATGGACTAAAATAAGTTAATTAATCATATTTTTTGCATTTTAGAGCAAAATTTATCAATAAGGTGGTATTTACTGAAATTTCATTGTTACTGACATTCATCTTGTGGGATTGTATTTTAGGCTTGCATTTCATGGAAATTTCTCTCCCATGATGCATTGTACAATTTCTCTCCCACAATGCACTGTACAATTCTAATTGGCACAAACATCCTTCAGTGTTTCGGTAAATACCGAGAGGGCACTCCTCCCCTCCCAAATGAGCTATAAACAGTGCATTTTGGGATTAACTACTTATCACCTGTTTTTCGCAGCAACGGCTCCAATATTGTTAAAAATTGAGGGATGGTGAGACTGGGTCTCAGATGATAACATTTAAGTTTGATTGCCGAAACACGATTAAATAGTATAGCAATAATAATAGATAATTTAAAAAAAATATTGATTAAGTTATTTGTTTCAAAACAGAAATCCCACACTGGTTGTAAAAAAAATCCTAAGAAAGAAAACCAAATATATCAGTGGAAAAATAACACAGAAAACAGCAAAAAAAAAAAAAAATATTCCAGAAGAAAACATTTCCAGCTAAAATGATATAAAAACTTCTACAACTCTGTATGAAGATAGTCTATACACTAAAGGGTTTACAAATAGTTTTTTGTTCTTTAACGAAGAGCTATTGCTTCCAAAATATGTTTATTTTTTCACAAAATAGATAATATTCATGCCATATTTGTATACAAAGTAGTAATAGTTCAATACTAAGGCAATTTTATGATATTTTGGCAAAACCACAACAAAGAGTGATTTCTTTAAGTTACTTGACCCGACCTTTGACCCTTCAAAGGTCAGATAACTTACTTCCTCCCAGTGTGCCTTTCATTTTTAGTTGTATTATTTTATATTTTTTTTTTAAAAAATCACATCTAATAATTAGATTTCATTTTAAAAATTAGAAAAGCACCTGGACTTTTCAAGGTTAACCACAATACAAAAAATACCTGAGCCTTTGATAAAAAAAAAATAGTTTTCTTCAAATTTACCAAGATAACTGGTATTTAAATGTTCATAATTACAACAAACGTTCTACTACATATTATCATGCAGAATTTAGCAACAAAAAAATGCATCTGTTTGGTACATTATTTTTGTCGTTGTTACAAAACTAGTATTTAAAAAGGGTCAAATTAAAAAAAACTAATAGTACACATGTGATCTATCAAGTTTTCAACTGCTTTTTGATGACGAAACTTCAATTCGGAAAATATTACACACAATTACAGAATGTTATTGCAAATTATTCAAGCTTTACGGTTACCATAGCAACCACAGCTGAGGTATGCGGATGCAACAAGGTTCATGTTAAAAAATTTAAAAAGGCGTTTTTTTTCCACCTGGGGAGTTATCAGACCTTTGAAGGGATTTATTATCACTACCATAACTATTGATTTCTAATCAATATTAATTAATCTTTGACCAGTCTATAGATATGATGTTGTGCTCCGTGTTCACTTGTTGATACTTCAAAGACGTACGCGATACACAGTAACGTCTCCTGTGTATCCCTGTTTGTTACAACCTGTGGGTGAAAAAAATACAAATAGACGTCAGATCAAAGCAATCACAAGATAGAAGGCTCATTCCTGTAAACTGCATAGCCTACTTGCAATGCAATAAGATTTTGTAGTCACAGATGGAGAAGACCTGTTATATGCTGTTTTATATGCTGTTATTTTGCTAAAAGCACTAAAATTAAAGCCCACTATTAGTATATGCAATTTTAACAGAATGTATGAGTGAATTACAAACCTAATATAAAACTACTAAAATTAAATTCTATGAATACCCCTTATCTACATTATTATTTTGCAAAAACCTCACTCTCAACTTTATGAAATATTGGTTAATTATGATATAAAATATATAATATACATGTAAAAGTTTTGGTTTTTTTCCCCGAGATCAAATTGGACTTGTTACACCCAGTGCCCTCTAGTGGTAAATACCTGTAAAATAGTGAAATTCTCTAACACACTGTTCATCATATACTTCTCTGGTAGATGTTTTAATTTGTGGATAAAATTTATCATGTACTCGCACATCGGTGATCTGTGGATGCGATACACAAATCGTCCATTTTCAAACCTTGCATACTCTGTCTGTAAGAAGCACATATAATCATGAAGTAGTCATTTCGAAACATTACTTTATTTTCACTTTTTCCGCTGAAGGAGTAATTCAGGGAAAATAAAATCCAGTGAATATACTTTTTTTCCTATATTTTACATTCAACTCGTCAAAAATTAGTGAAAATAAATTCCACACATAAAAATGTCTTCTCAGCGAAAATAAAGTATTTTACAGTACAGTTACCGACGATTGTGAAAAGAATTCTGTGACACAAAGTTCAAATGATGCACACACTGAACTCGTGTAGAAACTTATTCATCGTATACTACCAAGAGTACAAATTATTGCAAAATTTTAGGCATTTTACATTTATGAGTTGATTGACTCACCTCAACTTTTTCTACAACTTGTTTACCGAACGAGCACACTTTTGTTGAACATGTAATAGTCATGTTGTCGGGACTCTCATATCTATATAAGAAAGAAACAACAAAAAATTAATGGTAAACAAAATTGTTTATGTCAACTGATTCAAAATAATGATAAAAACAATGACACCACTGAAGCATAATTGCATGTCAGTGTTCTACTAATTTGGATTTGAACTTTGACCTTGCTATCATGAAAATGGCATGACAACATTGTTACATTATGCCATCAGGAATTGAGAAGTTGAAAATTTAAGCCTTTTATTTTTATTTTATTTATTTTTGTTACAAATTTATTTAGAAAAAAAAAATACAAAAAAAAAAAATTGTTTTCCCCCTATATAATCGATGAAACAAAATTTCATATAAAACACCCAAAAACGAAAATGAAAGTATTTTACAGTATTCATGTTTGTCTAGGAGAGTTAATTTCAACAATACGCTTGCATGAAATTTATGTACAAGTGATTATTTAGAAAGTATCCATTATACAGAGTATTTTACTAAGAAACCCAATGACACTATTACAAATGAGTAAACATAGTTGAACTCTGGTGACCTTGCCCTTTGTTATATAATATACCATTAAAGTCCTATTATAAACCGCGGTTTATATTACAATGTATCAATTTAAAAATTGGGATCAAAAGCTCAAGTTCGGGGTGCGGTTTCTATTACGTACATACTGCAATCACTAAATGGGCGTGGTCATTTTTTGTCCACAACACATGCACAAAACAAACAATACACCGTACAATCTCTTGAATAGGCGTCGGGGAAGAGTGAAAGGCCTTATTTTGGTTCTAAAATAGGCGTTACGAAATGTTGAAAAATTACAGTTAATCAAAAAAAAATTCCACATGACACAAAAAATACTCAGTATTTTTAATGTAATATGCATTCATTTTTTTAATTTTCTTGGTAACGAAAAGTATATTCTAACAGAAGTTTCAAATAAAAACACGAATGCACTGCTTAGTAGCAAATGATCACATAACGGTAGCTTGATCCGGCCATGCTGCTGGTCACAAGTGAATAACTTACTTGTTTTCGAAGTGTTGATATTGGTGATTATTATTTAGTAGTGATTACAATAATGCACGAAAAATAAATTCGTTGAATTGTTA